AGAGAGAGAGAGAGAGAGAGAGAGAGAGAGAGAGAGAGAGAGAGAGAAATCAGGGAAGGGGCAGAGAGAGAGAGAAAGGAAGAGAATTCCAAGCAGGCTCCATGCTGTCAATGCAGAGCCCAATGCAGGCTCAATCTCACGCCTGTGAGATCTCGACCCGAGCCAAAATCAATAGGTGCTCAACCCACTGGGCCACTCAGGTGTCCCTAAAGGTGTACCTTCCATAAAGTCAACATTTTCTATCTTTAATTCAAATATTAAAATAAAAAACTTGGAGATGTATTTATTTGACTAGAAACTTTTCAAAGAAAAAAAGGGTAATTTGTCTTTAAAAAGACATTCCATTTTTTGTTTCTACAGTGCTGTTAATTCTTTTTTTTTTTTTTAGTTTATTTATTTTGAGAGAGAGAGAGTGAGCGAAGTGGGGAGGGGGCAGAGAGAGAGAGGCAAAGAGAGAATCCCAAGCAAGCTCTGCACTGTCAGCACAGAGCCTAATGTGGGGCTTGAATCCACGAAGTGAGATCATGACCTGAGCTGAAGTCAGATGCTTAAAACTGACTGAGACACCCAGGTGCCCCTAGAAAGACATTCTTAAGCTAATACGGCCATTTTAAGGAAAAAATTATCACACAATACCTTCTTTGATATATGTATGTATGTATATACATACACCAAAGGTGATAAGAGAAATGAAAAATGTAAAACATAAAATACGAAAACGTAAAACATGAAAAACAAATGACCTGGGCCCTCTCTCCAGGCCTTAGGGTAGTATCACCAACATCCTCTCTGGTGTCTGTGCTGTAGTAGGAGGGTGGGCCGGAAGGATGTGATGGCACTGCCCTTCCCCACTAGACTAAATACCACTAACATCTTCCCTTTAATTCCAATAAAGACTAAATGAAAATTCCTGTTACAGTTTCATCCTTTCTGACTTCAGTAAAACAGAGCCTCTTCTCTTAATCGTTTAACAAATATTCAAAGAAGACTTATTCTATTTCCTGTCGCTTGTATTTAAATGAAGATGAGAATACTCTTTTTTGGGCAGAGGCTCAGACAGGAAAAACTGAGGGACAACCTTAGGATTTTGAGTTCCCATGGCTGTGGATACGGAAAAAAATGCTAGGGAAGAGACACAGAAGGGCAAAAAGATATACAAAGGAAGATAAGGTTAAGATAAATGTCTACTATCACAAAGCATTCCCTTTACCTGGTCACCATCTCTGAAATCCCACTTTCTGACAACCACAGAGTCTCTTTGTACCCTGACTCTAGATTAACTCATGTTCTTCCTTCCCTATGTAAAGTGTACGGACTGATGCACAGTGCTACTGGGTTAATCTCTATTCTGCATATTCTTGCAGCTGCATTAAATGATAACCAAGAATCAGCTGTATCTGTCCCAAACATGTTTATGCCAATTGTATTCATATCATTATATAGTTCAATTACATATTATACAAATTAATAAAATCTGAATGCAAACCTAGAGTGGTTATTTTGATGAAAATCAAACTACATGCTTTGAAATGACTAAAAGGTAAATGACTAGAAAATAAAATCCACTATTGAAGTCGCTGTATATAATAAACGATTACATAACATACATTATATGCTACCCATATAGTATCAGAAAAATGACATATAAATCTACTATCATACTCAGATTTCTTTGCAAGTGACAAGAGTCAGCTCTACTTAAAGGAAAACAGGAAATTGCTGACAATTAATGAACATGGTTTGTGTCAGAAAGAACATGGAATTCCAATCAAGATTCATATTCAAAGAGAACACTTGACCTTTAAATAAGAATATTGGCGAATACATAAAACACAGTATTACTGAATTTTATTTTACAAATTTTTAAAGATTTTTTAAAAACTTCATCATCGAAACTGACTTTTTTCACTAACTTATCAACTACTAATGTTGATTCCAACAGGTAATAGGTGCTGTACAACCTCCTATCCTCTCAACCTAACCTGCTCTTTAACCTGGTATCTTTTGGCCCTCTGCAATTATCCTACTTTGTGAGGTGCAATCTCTCTACACTCAGCCTAAACCAGAATGCCAATCACCTTAATGATATTCTCACTAGCATCATCCCAATTTGGGGGATTCCTTTACCTTCCACAATAACTATCTTGCCAATTTCCAATTTCTCATCAACTGAACCATCATTCTCTATTCTTACGTGCCCAAGCTATCAAGTTTTGAGAGAAAATACTGTTAGGTATGCTGATTAGTGTCATGAAAATAATCCTGAGCTCTGACTTCAATTATGCTCTTGAAATACTGAATAAGCTTTAATTTTACTTACTACTCCCACTGGACTCTTCTTTTTTACTTTACCTAACAGCTGTTCCAAATCTGTGTTCAAGCCTCCTCTCTCTTCAAGCTGTCCTTCCTCTCAGTGAATGACCCAACTCTTCCATCCAAAGAAAATAGAAATAAACTGGCATGGGTTTCCTCGGCCTTCCTCCTACCTGTATCTGAATTCATTTTTATCCTTCCCTCCTGTCTCAGATGAAGAAGTGGCTCAT